TCATGCAGGAACTATTTACACAATGTGTGGAGATGAGAGAGAGAGAAACAGCAGATGTCTTGTCTCAATGAGTTGGGAGAGAACAAGAAACAAAATGGCTCAGCTTTTAGGGGTGGATTTAACTTAGACAGAGAGCTACAAACAAATGCTGGCTAGATACCTACACAAATAGTGCCTTCTAGTGGTTTAAAGTAACACATGTAGGAATTACAAACTCAGGAGAAATAAATGTATTTGCTTTTCTCCAATGAAACCTTGCTGCCAGCGTATTTAACAGAGGTGGGATGTGTGTGTGTGTGCTCCACACAGTGGCTTGCTATAAGCCACTGTTTGAAGGACCTCCCCCACCCTGTTCAACAGCTTTCCTGGGCCTGCCTGCCATTCCTCATGCTGCAGTTGGTGTGGCTGCCCATTGGCGGCCAAGCCTACTGCAGAGCGTAATGACACCTTACATTTTTATGTATTTAGGAATATATATCCAGACAGTGACCATTTTGCACGGGGGTTCTGTTCGTGGTTCCCGCATGCACGCTAGTGGAGCACTCAAAAGCCTGCCCTGCACTGTTATGCCCCATTCTACCCCTCATTATTCCCAACCCCTCTTCCACTCCCATTCTGCCCTCTTCTGGGTCCAATTGGATCAGCAGTTGCACATCAATTGGGCATGCGCAAAATGGTTGCTGGCATTATGTATATGCCTATGAAACATCCTAAGGCAATTTAACCCATCAACAATACATATAGTGGATAGTGTATTAATAGAAAGAACCTAGGAGTTGGTTTATGTTACATTGCAATGTTATGTCCTCTTAGGGCTTGAGTCAGGCGTAGGTCAGCAACAAAAAACAATAAAACACCTGAGGTCAGTGAAGTTAAATCTTTATTCCAGGAAACAACCACAGCTCAAACTATTCTTAGGAGGTCTTGTCCCATCCCTGTCTAAGGTTCCTCCTCGTCTGGGTTTTCCCTACGCAGTCTCAAACTGTGTCTGTGCATGACTAATCTCTGTTCTGTTCTTTTCATTTCTCTGTGTGTTCTTGGAGGCCACGGGGGGGGGGGGAGGAGCTGGTCGCAGCAGGAGGGGGAGACTCCCTGAACTCTTCAGCAGCCTGTTTCCACTCTGCCTCTTGACCCTTCTCTGCTTCAGCCTCAGAGTCTGAACTGCACTCTGCCAAAGACTCTTCCTGCTCACTGTTGCCTCTCCAGCTTCTGATAGCTCCTCTTCACAGCCTGCTCCCTCTTCTCCCTCTGACCACTCATCCTCCTCCTCCCTCCAATCCCCTGGCTCTCAGCCTTCTTCCCCTAGGGGGTTCCCTGGCTGGTACATTCCACCACTCTCTGCATCCAGCCAGTGTTTGGCAGTTGCATAATAGTTACATGCTCCATGAATATAGAATTATGATAACAGTACCTGATAAACTTACAACGTAATGAGGTTTAGGGTAGGGTTGCCAAGTTGTTGAACTACACTTCTAACATGGGATTTTCTCAGACACTTCAGCGATTTCCGCCCGGACGCAGTTTGCGAGGGCCGAATACTGGCTATGTCCGGCAAATGCATGATTGACACTTTCTTTCCTACACCCTTGTAAGAGTAGTACCATCTCCACAATTGTTTTGCAGTGAGGGCTTCAGTTTTGTGGAGGAAGCTTTACTATATCAAATTTTGTCTCATGGTGAATCTTGCAGCAGGAGACCCAATGACACTGTCATTCTATACATTGTGCCTTTGTATTACGTTTACAATTTCCATTAAATTATTAAATTCCAGTTACTTCTGTTAATAGGATAATATGCAGATCTAGTTACAAAGGAGATTTACCCAGATACTTGTAAAACGTGAATGCTGGTTCCTCAGCTTTGCGGCTTTATAATCCTTTGGCTTTTCCAAGTGTAATGAGGGGATAAACTATTCATTAGAGTTTTGTGGCATCTGCCTCTTGGGGATTTTAGCTCTCAGTCACCAGGCTGAGGCTGCAGTGTAATGACTTGGGTCACTTACATTTTCTTGTCAAGGTCAAGTGGAGTAAAACATGGAAGACTGGACTGTCATGGGAGACGAATAGCTTGGAAAATAGTTTTCATGGACTGATTCCTAGGGCCACCTGACTGATTTGGAACATGGTTCATTCACGTGCGTCATTCTATGTCAAATGTGGGTATTTGAAATGTGTATATTTTATATGTTGCATTAATGTGCCCTCTGATATATTCTCATCTGACCATGTAGGCTGGGATCTGGATGTAGAGCAGAGACCTGTGTCTGGAGACTTGTGTCACAGATGAACAGCTGACAATTACCAGGGGTGGCACTTTTCAAAGTGGATGGGGAAGCTGTAGAGGGGTCTTCCCAGCCACAGATTTCCCTCACCACCCAGGGTTCCAGTTCCATTGTTGCTCTCTGGGTGAAATACCATGCCCAAGGAACACACAGAGAGAAATCACAAACTAAACAACTCTATATGTGATTTACAAAAATTCATTAACAATAATGTCTGATATTTCAACACCTTGTGGAAAAAGGCAGCTAGGTTATTTGTGGGGCATAATAATTCCTTCATATTTTTTTCTAAATATAGTCCGGCCCACCACATGGTCGGAGGGACGGTGGACCGGCCCACGGCTGAAAAAGGTTGCTGACCCCTGATCTGGAACAAGCAGAGAGAGAAGTGACAATAATTATACAGTGGTACCTCGGGTTACATATGCTTCAGGTTACATACGCTTCAGGTTACACACTCCGCTAACCCAGAAATAGTACCTCGGGTTAAGAACTTTGCTTCAGGATGAGAACAGAAATCGTGCTCCGGTGGTGCAGCGGCAGCAGGAGGCCCCATTAGGTAAAGTGGTGCTTCAGATTAAAAACAGTTTCAGGTTAAGAACGGACCTCCAGAATGAATTAAGTTCTTAACCCGAGGTACCACTGTACATTTCTTCCTCCGTCAAAGCAAGTGGTCTTCACCCCACCCCCTCCCGCTACTTGAAATCTCTTAGCCTCTTCTGGGGATATGTTGCACTTTATATTAAGATGGTAATTTTGTAAATCAGGCAGTGATTTCTTTCTTTTTTCCACAACCATTGGCATTTGAGTTTTCCTAGCAAAATAATGCACCACTTCCCAACTGTGGCCAGCCCCTCGTGGCTTGCAGGGCTGCTGTTTTCCCTCTAAAGCAGTGTTTCCCAACCGGTGTTCCGCGGCACACGAGTGTGCCGTGAGACGTTGCCTCGTGTGCTGCGAGATGCCTGGAGGGAGGCGGGCGAGTCGGGCGGCGAGAGGCGGGGCGGCGGCGGCGAGGAGAGGCCGCGCCTCCTGCTGCTGCCTGGCGCTCCTCCTCGCAGCCGGCAGCGCTGCCTGGGCGCCTCCGCGCGACTCTGCCTCGCTGGGTTTGGTCTCCCAGCAGAGACGGGTCACACGCGCCCCTCCCTCCCTCCCTCAGCCTGCGCGGAGGGAGAGCCAGAGAGAGGCATCGCTCCTGCGCGGCGGGAGAGGGAGCAGCCGGAGCGATGCCCCAAACGAACGCATGGGACCGGAGGGGAAATCCTCTCCGAGGCGGATTGAGCGCAGCTGAGAGAAGCCTTTCGAGGAGCTGCCGTGTCCCCTGGAAACCCCCTTCCCAGCTCTGCCTCAGCCGCCGCCGCCTCAGTTGCCGCCGTCCCTCAGTCCCTCGCTCTGCTGCCTCCTCCCACCCCCAAAGCTTGGAGGTTCCCCAGCAAGGGGGAGGGAAAAAACTTTCACTTTTGTGCGTCCCTCCCGGCGTGACGCTGCGCGCTGATGTCACGGGGCGGGGCTTTAATGGTGGTGTGCCGCGAGATTTTTTTTCAGTAAACAGGTGTGCCGTTGCCCAAAAACGTTTGGGAAACACTGCTCTAAAGCCACATTCCTTGGCTTGGCAGCATCTGGAATAGTCCTTTCCCCTTCTCCCCTGCCTTCTATTTTTTGATCCTGGGGTACAAAGTCCTCTCACCTGGGTGATCTGCTGTCTCTGTGTCCAGTTCACTGGCATGTCATGCTCATCATTCATTTGCTACTGTAAAATGACTCTGCCTTGAAGGGTTGCTTTCAAAGCCAATCAGATTTTCTTGGCCATATGCAAAGCTTTCCCCCTTTAATACCACATTGGGCTCCTTTGCACATGTCAATCATAACTGGTGTAGCCACAACCCAACAAAACAAAAACAAAACTCCACACATGGGAAATATATTCCATTCAGCTCTGAGCAAGGTATCATCTTCTTACTTCTTTGGTGATCACTTGTAGCCAAGTAAGATTGTCTTCCATGAACATAGTCTTAATAGTGACTGTAGAGGCCAGCTCTGGATCCACAAGTTCTTCCACAGTGGGGACATAGGTTTCCGGGCAGCAGTTGATCATGCTTCTCCCTTTCGTCCTGAGTTCGAGCATCTTACAGTGAGGTGTGGTATCACTACAACACATAATATAGCCTAATTTCCCCCCAGGGCCAAACAAAAAGAAAAGTTTGACATTTTGCCCCATTCTTGAGTTTATCCATATATAGGGCACTCATGTAGAAGTGGGAGCAGTCCCACACTTTTTGCAATTCCTCCCAGTGATGCATCCCCATTGAGACCCTTTCGGTGAATTATTCTTTTCTCAGATACCCCAGCAATCAAAGATTGGGGGTGGAGGTGGCATAACATTGGGGACAGAAATATGGCCCTGCTCATGCCTGCACATGAGAGTAGCACATAAATGCATGAATAGGACCCAGGGCCAATACGTCCCTGAGGCAGGCTATGGGGTTGGCAAAACCCCAAGAGGCAGTGCCCAAGGAGGTGCCCTGCACACGTTGCTGCCCCTGCAGCTGGTGGAGAAGTGGCAGCAGTGGCAGCTGCTGAGAAGATCTGGAAAGAGCCCATGGAGATCTCACAAGATCTTGCCGGAACCTGCCATTGCTGTGACTGCTTCACCGGTGCTGCCAGGCGACCCAGACAAGGAAGACGTTGGCGTTGGCATGGCAACCACGGGGCGGCATCTTCCTGTTTCACCACAGGTGGCAAAATGGGCTGCCCCGCCCTGATAGGACCTTTGTTTTCTTTGGATTAGAAAGCCCAAACTCCCAAGTTTGCCATCAGCTGAACAAGGAGAAATATTGTATTCCAAAGCAAAAGGGAACCCCATGACTCTTGTCTCAGTAGCCCTATCTTATTGTGCAGTCTTCAAGCACCTGTGAGTTCTTCCTGCTCTTAATGACAGGCCAGTGTTGCCAGTTAAGGTGGCCAGCTGCAAGAGAGGACACACAGGGCTTTGGCACTTTTAATGGTGGTGTAGGAGAGGGGATTTCAACACCTGTTGCTTGCTGCTGAAAGCAAACCTCTATTATAACTGTTAAAGAGGCTGTCAAGAGACCTCCCCTCCGTTGCAGCTGGCTCCTGTAGCCATCGTCCTTCAGCTGTAAACAGCTTGCAGAAATAAGCTTGGCAAGTATGTGCAGATTAGCCTGGAAGCAAAATGGAATACTGGTTATTATCATTTCAAGGTTTGTTTGAGGGATGGGCTCAAAAGCGGCAGGAGTGGGGGTTTGAGGAGTACACATGATGAAATTCCATGTGTTCCCCACCCCTCAATTTTCTTTTTTATTTCCTTGTTTTATTTTGGTGGGTATTTGATGGTGTTAATTGCAGAAGCCACAATAGCTTTGTGGTTTTAAATTGCTTTTAGTATTATGTTTTATTAGGACCTTGGGGTGAAGGGCCGGCAATAAATAAATAAATAAATGAATAAATGAATGAATGAATGAATGAATGAATGAATGATATGCAGTTACCAATATTTTTGACCCATTTCTCTTCCCCAGATGCTGAATCAAGCTGGATTTCAGCCTGTGGGATGTAAAACACAGGAGCAGTCAATTACAACATTCCTAGAGTGTACATGTTTAAACATGGGGAGGGATGTCTGTCCAGCCAGCAGGTAAACTTCCTGGGACAGACTTCCTCCGCATGTGACCAGAGGTGGGTGTGGCCTCACCTGTGCAGGTAATGACAAAAGCACAGGGCAGCACAGCCATCTCTCTCTTGCTCTCTTGCCTCTCTGCCATCTTCCTTCGAGGAAGCAACATCTAAGGATGCCCTCTTGGCTCCCAGCCAAGAGAGCAGAAAGGGACTATCTTCCTATAAGATAGATTCTAAATGTATTTTACCTTTTTTAAGCCTGTCTGCCTTCTGGGATCATATTGTGAACAGAATGTGAGTAAACTCTTTTATACTTTTATACAGACTGTGTCGTGTCTTGTATTTTAAGAGGGAACAAAGGGGAAATTACCAGAGTAATTATTATAGAGGTTCTAGCGAACCTGAGCACACGTTCCCGTTGCGAACTTAAAAGGGGAATGTCTTTAACTCTGCTGATATTTTGGGAACTTGTTAGCACAAGTTGGATAAGGATATAATCTCATAATATATCCTCTCCTGCATCCCTGAACATTCCCACACAGCCTGCCCCCCTCTGCCTACCAATGGATGGGACTTGGGAAGGTGCAGGCGTAAGATGGCAACCTATCCTGGTGGATGTGCCTTGGTAAATGCAAAGCTGAGATGCTTGGGTTGCAGCCTTCGAATTCCTTGGGATTTGCCTAAGAAGACTGCCACCGTTTTACCAGCTTGTGCTCCATTTCAGCAACCTGATCTGCAGACCATCAGATTATTTTTATAATATCAAAAAAATCACTGAAGAATTCCTGAATATGAGGGTGGTTCTGAAGGCACAGGAGTAGTCCCAGTATTTTAATCCGGTTGATGGGCAACTTTGTCACCTAGAGCAGGAGCCAGGCCTCACCTGTGCTTGGTTTTCTGACCAGCAGGTCCATGACTTGAAGCAATTATTACCTCGTCTCCCCTCCCCTCCAAGTTTCTCTCAAAACAAAATACAAGACTGGCAACTGCCTCAATGGCTATAGATTGAGAACAGTAGCCTCAGCTCCTAGGAGGTGAATGGCACAGCCCCTTTTCCTTGCCTATTGGAGTGCATGTTGTGCAGACAACAGTGGAATAGCAAACTTCTGAATGGCATGACCTTGGAGGAACTGCAATTGCCGTTGATCAACCCTGAATAAGGTAAAAGCCAGAGGGAACTTACTCTTCTGCAAATAAATTGCTGTGAATATTCAGTAAAACAATCCAACACCTCTCAAAGTGAATTTTCACCTCCCAAATAGGATGATGAGAGGCATGAATACAGATGAGGGAAATGGGCATTGAATATGCAAGTTGTCGGCTGTGTTTGTTGTGTTTCTCTCACAGCTTTCCTCCAAGGAACTTGAGGCCACACACCTGATTCTTGCTCTCCCTCTGTTTTAGCCTCACAACCGTCCTGTGAGGTTTGTTAGGCTGAGACGGAACCACTGGCCCAAGGCCACTGGGACACAAACTCAGATCTCCCTGCTCCAAGTTGGAAAGGGCAAAACGAGGGCAGCGCTTTCGGGCCGATTACAAAATCAGCATCATTTCCAATAAGGGATTTGCCATCAAGACAAGGCAGAGAAAGGTTAAAAATAGGGTGGCCGAGTGAAAAAGAGGACTATGTTCCTGCACCTTAAACAGGTGAGGAGGAGAAGGAATTTCTTCAGGTGCATTTTGTATGGCAGGGCAGACCTGCTGAAATCTGTACTTCTACACAGCCATTAAAGGAAGAGAGCTTCTGCCCTCTCTTATACCAGGCCACCTTAGCTGTAAAGTTCCTTGTCTCCCCATTCAAATCAGCAGCATTCTTCAGTCATATAAAAAGCCTCATTGGGAACAATACGACATCCACCATGAACATAGCATTGCATTTTATAGGACTGAAGGACACCTGCAAGCTGCTTTGTACACTGCCAGGTAGCAAGGCTGGGGGGGGGGGAGGGGAGAAAAAAAAAACTCCAAACACTTTGCTGCCTTGTCTTAATGGCAAACTCCTCACCCCCAATGAATTCCTCACCCCCTTTTTGATAGAGATGAATGTTCTTGTGAAAATGGGAGGGAGGATATTTTTTTGGGGGGGGTCTAGCATAACTTTAAATGGGAACTTGATACACAATGACAGATGGCACTTTTTACTGCTATGCAAATAAAGTGATGGGGGAAGTCTTCGGGAAGCTACGGAGGGAGCAAAGGCAAGTGGGTCTGGTCTGGTGCCACTGAGAAAATTTCTTCCATCTCAAAGAGCAGTGACAGAGGAGGGGTGTTCCTCAATGGTAGAGGAAAGGGTTAATTTTCCCTGTTGCAATCCTGAAAAGTATCAGCCCATCACTACTGCCTGTGGATGGTCTTGGTGCATTAAATGAAAGATATCTTTGAGTTCACACCTATCTGTAGTCTCTTAACCACCAAGCAAAATTAGTTTGCCATTTGTCGTTAGCTGCTATGCCACTATTGGCACCAGGTGGTTCCACCAGAAGCAATAAACTGTGAAGGGTTAAACAATAAAAGTTCATTTTATTGCAAACAGCGAGAATTGATGGGGTGGGGAAAGCTCCCTGCCCTGGAAAGAAGCCTCTGCTTTCTGAATCTGGGGACAGGCTGCAGTTGTGATGCCAAGGTACTTCATTCTGTTATCTAATAACAATTTTATTTCATATTATTTTTAAGGGACTTGCATGTCCAAAGTGAGAGGTGGTGGACCTTGATGTGCATGGTAAAAGGAGGAAAGGCTGACTTGATGCATAGGAGATTTGTTAGGCGTGAGCTGATAAAAAGGACCTTGGGATTCCCATACCTTTTAACAGCTGTGTAAAAGAAGTTATTGTGGCAGCTTGGCATGTAACGATGGGGGGCAAGTCTCCTTCCTTACTAGTTGGGCAAAAAAGGGAATTTCATCAGGTGAAGCTGTTCTCACCCCCACATAGCAAACTGTCAACATTTCAACTTCTACCCAAATAGTTCTCTCCCGTTTTCATCTTGTCGCCTTACATAATGCATGGAGGTCAACGTGGAGAGTGAGAAATTTAGCATCTTTTGCTGAACTTCCCACTTCTACATAACCCGTGCAGGTGTTCTGTCCCACCTTCCCATTTGGTCTCCCAGATCTCCTCCTACAGCCTATAACTCTTGACATCTTCCAAGTTCATGCTGGAATCCCACCATTTACCGTATATAACTATTAAAATTGCTGCAGGAGCTCTGCCCTTTTTTACATCTGGCTGCCATGTGTCCCGTTCAAGGGTCTAGAAACCTAGGCCTCAGGCCTCTAGAAACTTGGGAAGGCACAAAGCACAGGAAGGATCATCTCTGGGGCAGCTTTTGCACAACTAAAGCAAGGGGGAGGAATCCATTGCCCTGAACACTGGGCATGCTGGGTGGCGATGATAAAAGTTGGAGTCCAGCTATGTCTGGAAAGCCTCAGGTTCCCCACCCACCCTTGAGCTAGAGTAACAAATGAAGCCCACCAGTTCAATGCAGCCAGTACAAGGATAGCAATGTGAGCAGGAACCAAAGTCATTGAGAAATGCTTGTACTGCGGAGGGGGAATGGAAGCTAAGAAGAATTAACTAGTTTCAGTTTTGTATATACTGTAGCTGGGAACAGCACACTGGTAAGCAAAGTTTGTTCCTTCTAATCCAGGCTCTGTGGCTCATTTTAATCATGAAAATGTGGGGTAGCCAACCTCATAGAAGCAACATGCTTAAGTATACTTGATATGCATATTAATATGCCAGGTTTAGCTCACCTTAGGAAAGACCAGGAAACCAAGCCTTTGCTCTCCCTCAGTCTACCTGAGAAGCTTGGTGTGTAAAGAGGTTTGAGCTGCTTGCTAAAAGAAGCTGAAATGGACAGATCCATCCATTCGTAGGTTGTTGGCATATATGTGCAATGAGGAATTGTAATTGTACTGGGGTTATTGTGCCTAATCTACTGCCCCACCAAGGCTGCCATCCTAACCCTACTTGCCTGAGAGTAAGTCCCACTGAATTCAACAGGACTTTGGGGCAGACATGGTTAGGGTTGCTTTGTAAGCCTCTGAGCAAGCAGATTGCTGACATTTTAATGTATCCTTTTGAAAACATGCTTAATTATTTCAGAGGGAGAAAGGGGGGTTGAACAGCACTGCAGAATAAAACAATATTTTAATTACTGTCCTTATGGGTGTATATTACATGCTCTTTAATACTAGTGCTTGGGCTCATCAAATGAAATGGATGAATGATATGCTCAGACTGGGCAAAAGGAAAGGCTCACTCATACCAAGGATAATGAATTCCTGGAATTCACCTCCCCAGCAGGGCTGCTGGCTTAGATGCCTTTTTAAAGAGAGGTGAGACGAACACCTGGTCTGCCTGCAGCCAAGACCCCCTGACAGCTAAATAGAAGCTTCCTAGTCAGAGGCTTGAGGGATGCGGGTGGCGCTGTGGATAAAAGCCTCAGCACCTAGGGCTTGCCGATCAAAAGGTCGGCGGTTCGAATCCCTGCGGCGGGGTGCGCTCCCGTCGTTCGGTCCCAGCGCCTGCCAACCTAGCAGTTCGAAAGCACCCCCGGGTGCAAGTAGATAGATAGGGACCGCTTACTAGCGGGAAGGTAAACGGCGTTTCCGTGTGCTGCGCTGGCTCGCCAGAGCAGTGATGTCACACTGGCCACGTGACCTGGAAGTGTCTCCGGACAGCGCTGGCCCCCGGCCTCTTGAGTGAGATGGGCGCACAACCCTAGAGTCTGGCAAGACTGGCCCGTACGGGCAGGGGTACCTTTACCTTTACCTTTAGTCAGAGGCTTGATCCCCTCTGGACGCTGCACAGGGCAGACAAGCAGCAGGAGAGGACTGTGTGTGTGTTGCCTTCATGCCTTGCCTTGGACTCCTTGAAGGCATTTGGTTGCCCAGTTTTGCAAGCAAGATGCTGGATTTGAAGGGCCTT